TTCTGACTTTGTGTGAGAGTATTTGACCTGCCACATTTTGGCGGTACCTTATCTAAATCAGCTTTTTAAGGACAGAACCTTGAATATAGTTGCAAAGAAATTTAATTAGCTTCCTGCCTCAGAGAAATTAAAAGGCATAGGCAATCTTGATTAGGTTATCATCTTTATGAAGATTTCTACATATATCTTTATATAAAGTAGGTACTGGTTTTGAATGGAGGGGTAGTTTGTATATCATGAGCTAAGTATCAGTGTTGAAATATGTGATTTTAAAAGTTTAATCTGAGAAGTTCCGTAAACTTAAGTAATTGAGCCAATTGAAGGTCATTTATAGATTTGAAAGTTCAGAATTGTAGTTTTGTGTTTTTTTTTAATGTTGGAAACAAAAAATTTGTTAGGATCAAATAAATATAATGTGCCCATATTTTTGTAATAAGTAGAAGGTAAAACAGTAAACATTTTTTGAGTACCTATTATGTGCTAGGCATTGTGCTAGATACTAGAAAGACAGAACGAAGGAAAGAGATAACTAGATAAATACTGCTTGGTCCTGCATTTAGGGGTCTCGTAGTATGGGGATGTTAGCTATGTAAAATATAATTGCCATGTAGCACAATAAGTACTATAATAGAGATATGCACCTAAGATACATTTGGGTAAACATGGATTACCCAACCAATTTAGCTTCAGTGCCATAAGGAAAGCTTCTGAGAAGGGACTTACGCTGAAACTTTATTAAGTAGATAGTGTTCCCAGGGTGCGGATGTGGGAAAAAGGGCATTCCAGACAGAGGAAATAGTGTACAATCTTCTGAGAACCACAGGGAATATGGTTTAACCAGAGTGAAGAGACACAGGGGAAAGTGTTGAGAGATGACTCTTGACAGTAAGCAGCCGCATTTTGTATACAATCCAGAGGAGTTTGAACTTCATTTTCTAGTTACTGGAAGGTCACTGAAAAGTATGGAGTATGATCCTACTGATTCACATTTTGGCAAGATTTTAGCTTTTGAACTAGTTTGGAGGATAAGCAATTAGGGTGTCATTGCTTTAGCATAGATGAGGGATGATGAGGGTCTAAAATGGCAATGGGAATGACAAGGGTAGATTCTAGGTATGTTAAAGAAACAATCAGTAGCATTTAATGATTAGCTGGGCGTGGTGGTGTGCACCTGTAGCTCAGCTGTTTGGGAAGCTGAGTTAGCATTTTTTGAGCCCAGGAATTCAAGTCTAGCCTGGGCTACATAGCAAGACCCCATCTCTTAAGAAAAAAAGTAATAATTGATTGTGGGTAATGAGAGAAAGAGTCCAGTATAAATCCCTGAATGATGGGATTAGATGGGTAAATTTCTCACTGAATTTCTGAAAGAAGTTTTATGTATGTGAATAGCTTCTAAAAAATTAACATATAAAGGTAACTTCTGAGGTTATGTCTAAGTTTTTTGTTTTTTTGTTTTTTATAGATGCCACTTCAAATGAACAACAAGAGCTTTTCTGTCAAAAGTTGCAGCAGTGTTGTATACTGTTTGATTTCATGGACTCTGTTTCAGACTTGAAGAGCAAAGAAATTAAAAGAGCAACACTAAATGAACTGGTTGAGTATGTTTCAACTAATCGTGGTGTAATTGTTGAATCAGCGTATTCTGATATAGTAAAAATGGTAAGCCTCTAGACTTATGTTCCTCAGATTTATATAAATTCAAGTAAGATCTGAGGTATAATT